GACTCGGCCCCACCCGGGCCTGCGCGCGCGATCCCCGGCCCGCATCCTCGCAGCGCCCACCTGCCGCGCGGGCACCAAGACGGGCTCGCGGGCAGGAACAAAGCTGGGCAGGGGTCCTGCACCCGGGAGGGATGCACGGGCGTGGCCGGGGGCTGAGCCCGGGGTGGAACAGGTGGGCCGTGAGGCCCCGTCGGTCTCTGGGCACAGCGCACCCCAGCCGGGCGGGATGACACAACCCTGCGTCTCTCCGCATCGCCTTGGCGGAGACCCCCGCCGCCCCATTCTTGGGGTGATCAACTGCCCCACACCCTGCCTGAGCCCCCTGGGGCCCCAAATCACACACATCCTGGGCCCACGCTGCACGGCCCCACTGCTTAAAAGTCCCCAGGGGCGGATGGCACACGTGGGGCTCTCCCGCACTGCGGCGGTGGGCGCGTGACGTCACGCCGCGGGAAGCCAGGCCACGCTCACCTGGGCGCCCGCAGTCGCAGGTGCTGTCGCGGAGCAGCGGGGAGGGAGGCAGCGCGCGCCCCAGGGACGCGTCTGGGCCGGGTCCAGGCACGAGCCCACCCCACCCACTTCTGCAGCTGAGACCCCCGGCCCCCAACCCGCTCACTTTGTCCCTTTTCTCAGAGCCGCCTGCACGGAGGAGAAATTAATTGTCCTTCCCACGGTACAAACAATAAAATCGTCTGGGACCCTAGTGGGGACTTTATCACTTCCGTTTTCATCGAATACGTTAATCTGATCGAGTTCTCTATACCTTAAGGCAACTGATATTTTTCTGGCAAGTAATCTGATACCTAATGTACCTCTAGGAATCCATGCCTCTTAAATTTTGATTACTAGCATATTTATGCATTTTTTTTTCTTTATTTTTTAGACGAGGTCTCATTATGTAGCCCAGGCTGGCCTCAAGCTAGTGCAATCCTCCTGCCTCAGCCTCCTGAGTGCTAAGTTCACAGGCATGCACCACTGCACCTGGCTTATGCTTGTGTCTACTGTTCTGCACTCCTTTTTATTCTATATTTTATCTGCATTTTAATATACTTAAAATATTTTCAGAGGTCCACCTTTTAGTTTTGTTGACTTTCTCATCCTTCCTTTTGCTTCCTGCATTTCTGTCCTCATCTGCTATTCCTTCCTTTGTGTTCCTTGGGTTTAATCTTTGGCTCTACTTTTAGCTATGTGCTTACCTCCCTTTTAACCCTCCCAGTTTTTGGAGGCATCTCTTTTAAGCTACAAAATCGCTTTTAGAGCACGGCCTTCACCAGGCCTCACAGATGTGGTGGAGGAAGTTTTCAGCATCCTCTGGTTCTACACAGCTCTTACTGTCCAGCTCGGGTTCCCTGGAAACCCATGGGTTATTTAGTAACGTCTTTTACTTCTCAGTATTGTTTACCTTACTATAACCTTTCGTGTCTAACCTAGTGGCATTATTTTCAGAGATAAAGTGAGCTCTGTCAAGATCCTGGCAGGAAGCAGGTGGCACTCCAACTGGGCAATCTGAGAGTGTTTAATAGACTCTTAACACAGGTGTGGGCAGGAGGTCAGAGTCTCCTGGCCCGGGGCTTCCTGCAGCCTGCAGGGGAGGAGGTGCAGGCCCTGCCTTCAGCACAGAGCATTTGGGGTCTCTTCGGCAGCATGACACGCTCAGGGGTATCCTAAATGGTGGGCAAAGAAACACCTGCACAAACAAGGCCAGAGCCCTGTCTGCGTGGGCGGCCTCTGTGGGCCCTGAGGCCTCCTTGGGTCCTAACATGCAGCGTTTCTATAAACTTTCTATCTGTGCACCAAATCGGCATCTTTTCTGTGTGGTGAGTACAGAGTTTGATATATATTTAATAGTTCAAGATTATTAATTGTATTGATCAAGATTTGAGATTTTTGCTAACTTCTGTCAGCTTGAGCTATTAATTTTATTTTAATTAAAACTTGAGTTGGGCTGAGGATGTAGCTCAGTGGTGGAGCTTCCCTTGCATGCAGGAGACCCTGATGTGATGCACCACACACACACACACACACACACACACACACACACACACACACACACAATCTCCAGCAACAATTAGGGAATTGTACTTCTCCCCGCAGTCCTGCAGATGTAGCTGGATGTGATCTCGGCCAATCTCTTAGACATATAAGTGGTTTTGCTGGACGTACAGTGCCATTCTATGGCCCCTTTCATCAATAGGCATGTGTGTCCTTTGTCTATTGTTTTGGGATATGAAACGATTTTTTTTTGGCTTTAGATTTGAGTGTCATATATTAAGATGTCAGCCTAGTTTCCCGTGATTCATATTTGCCTGGTACATCTTTTGCTGTTTTATATTAAGCTTCCTACATCTCTTTTTAAGTGTATCTTTTTAAGTAACCCATTGTTGGAATTTTTAAGTCTATAGCTTCTACCTTTAATTGGAATTTAATCCACTTACATTTACAGAAATTACTGTAATATATATATATATTTTTTTTTTTTTTGAGACAGGGTCTCACTGTGTCGTTCATGCTGGTCTTGAGTTCACTATGTAACCCACACTGGCCTTGACTTTGCAGTGATTCTCCTGCCTCAGCTTCCCAAGTGCTATGGTTATAGGCATGTGCCACCATGCCTGGCTGTACTGTATATTAAGACCTATTTTGTTGTCTTATTAAAATCTTCTGCTTCACTTATTATTTTAAATAACATCTGAGTTTTCTAAAACATTTGAGCTTTCTTCTACTGATCTCTGCTTATTTTTATTCTTTGGCAGTTGCCCTGAGTGTAGGACTCGCTCTTCTTTGCTTGCCCAGTACATTAGTCAGCTTCATGTCACGCTGAAGAAACACCCATGGCAATAACTCAGGAGAAAAGCTTTGTTGGGCTCACACTTCCGGAAGTTCCAGTTCAAGGCCTGGTGGCCTCGGGCTTTGCATCCCTGGCACACATAGGACGCAGCAGCCGAGCATCTGTTGGGCAAAGTGCTCCACGCCACGGCAGGAGGCAGAGAAACGCTAAGACACTGAGACCTGCAGCCCACTTCTGGGCAGGCTGCTAGTGACCTAAAGACCTGCCAGCAGGACCTACCTCCTGAAGGGTCACAGAACCTCCCAACAGCACCCCAGGACAAAGCCTAGCGCGGCACCTGGAAGACCCTCAACGTGCATACAGGAGCACCCATCTGGCCAACACAGGTGTACCTGAGCCTTCCTGCAAGCCCTGCCCAGGGGCTTGCACCTGCCTCTTGCCGTTATGCCTTCTGACTCCACCTCTGGCTGATGGGGACAGGGTCAGGGCTGTCCCCAGTCACAGCAGCAGCAGCGCCCTGTGCGTCCCTCAGCCTGACTCTGACTGCCTTTCTTTGAGACGCCTGTGGGAACTTTGTTGCAGCCACGTGACCCCATGGTCTCCAGCATGTCCCCTTGGGTCACCCCTCTGGTGCACCGTGGAAGCGTGTTCTCACGAGAACCAGGGTCTTCACTCCCCTGTGGAGCCCAAAACAACAAAGTGGGGGTGAGATTGTGTGCTGAATGGATAGGCTTGGGGTGGAGCTGGGCTGGGGGCCACTGCCTTCCTTCTTCTGTGAGCAGATGCTTCCCAAACAGAGCAAGCCCCCCGCTGCCTCCACCTCCAGCATTCATTCCTCCTGCAGCCTCACCCAGCCGCCTCTCACCTGCTCCCCATCTCGGGTTTTCTACGTCTAACCCAGCCTCTCGAGTCTGGTTTTTAAGGATGTCTTGTCCTTGCTTCCCATTGCAGATATCGCCCTCTCCTCCCCAGTTTGGAGGGAGCGTGCTCATTCAAAACTCTGCACCTGTTTCTTCCAGGCCTCACTCTGCATGTAGCCTGTGGCTGCAGCCGTGGCCGGTGTGACTCCAAACACAAGCCCCACTGGCCACCAGCCCCAGAGGGGCGCTTGGGACTCTCTGTGGTATTAAAGCACAGCTCTTCCTGGCTGCTCCCAAGCAAGGATGAGGTGTGGCAGGGTCCTCAGGCCACCTCTCCCACCCACTGCAAACCCCTCTGCTAGGCAGCCCCTGGTCACACTGTCCCCGAGCATGTCTTTCTCCAAGTACTCAGGCGCCAGTGTAGTCATGCGGGCTTAAAAGAGGACGAGGCACAGGTCACCTGGTTCAGAGGACCCAGAGGAAGCCCTCGAACGCCTGAGGACACAGAGCTCCCCTCTGTGCCGAGGCCTCTCTTGCTCTGCACTTGCCGTGTAGGATGTTCCTGATTTGCTGTTTGATGTCATTCTTAGAAGAGACAAATTAAAATGTTGGCATTGCTAGCATGAGTTTTGCCCTTTATTGCAAATTGTAGAACGTTAGTGTAGATG